TGGAATAATAGAACGTTTTATATTCCTATCATTATAAAATTAATTTTAAAAGTTACATATTTAAATATAGTCTACAAAGACACTTTTCAAAAAATATTGGACATGGGAGAGAGGTGCTAAAAGTTCCAATTTTTAAACAATCTCAAATATTATTTGTCCATATATTCTTCTTTATAAATCTAAAAGACTTTTGGCTGTACGAATGTCTTTATATGATATGAAGTAGTCAGGAATTTCGGTACACATTTTTATTTGGTAAGCCGACGTTTGGGCCCAAGTATGTGGGTCATCCTCAGAGCTATCGTTTGTAAGTCGAGATAAGAACTCTTTAGCTTTTGTCTCGACTTTCAAACGATAGCCAAGAGGATCCCCATGTTTGAGTCGGAACTTCGGCTAGTAAAATTTTATTTTTTATTTTTATTATTTCTTGGCAATTTTATTTTATCCTTGTAAATGATCAGTTGACTACTACCCATCTCTAACGTTTTTCTATGAAATTTAACATAAAGGGAAAACAAAAAGTAACAACTTACACCGACTTGGGAGTAAGTTGTTATTAGCTATATTGGATACATAGATGATAAAACAAATAAAGATTTGAATATATACTAATTTATTTAAAGACTAATCAGCATTATCTTCAGATTATTCAGTCAAATATGTCTTATAATTTTAACAAAATCATGAAACAAAAGATATAGTACTCCTTTGATGATTTTATACCATCTAGTTACTTGGCATCTTTAAGTTGTACTTTCAGGCTGTGCATTATGTTACTTTAACAGCTGATATCGCTAATCAGTCTTCATAATTAGGAACATATTACCAATGGCCTGACTAATATGGCGGCCGTCGGTGCACTGCTTCTTACTATTTCGCGAAGCACATCAGACTTATATTTATCTCTTTTCGTTTTCGAGCTATCTCACTCGGAATTTACCCTATAACTTTTAGCCCAGCTCTCCTCTATATTCCAGGTCCGTTCAGGTTTTGTATCTCCGAATCGATGATGATGGATAAATCGTTTCCATAAACGTTAAACAATGTAAATAAATGCGATAAAAACTATTTATACAAGTCACAAGGAAGTTATAGTACCCAACTTCTCAACAAAATAAATAACAAGAAAAAATATTTATGTTTAATTTTCAAATATGTACTTATTAGTCCGTGTTGCAGACCCCTTTTTATCGAATTATTAACATCCACCTGAAACATCATAAATAGTTTCATCTCATCCTAACCTACAACTATTTTATTTACGAAAACACTTGGAATTGGGGCGTTTTCAATCTGGAGGAGGAGCAAACTTTGTCTATTTAATTAGGTACTAAAAACTCGCACACATTTGCTTTCTACTTGGATCGTAAGATAATTTGATCACAAAGTCGAGAAAATAGGTGGTCTTCAAAAATATTGAGCCGATTGGCGTGACCTACACCTCCAAATTTTCAACATAACGAGATTATATAGGGCAAACGGCCCAATATTTTTGTAGGCCACCTTTTTTATATATTTTGTAATCAAATTATCTTACGATCCGAGTAGAAAGCAAATGTGGATTTTTTAATTATTAATAAAAATACATAGTTCTATTTATAATTGTGGGTAAATGGTTGACTGTCGTGAATAATGAAGAGAAGAATAGTTAGGGCAATCAGTCAAATAAGAAGGCAAAAATAAATGATAATATTTATTTTGACATTTGCCGACGTTTCGAGCTGAAGTTCAGGGCTGCCTCCGAAAAGGTTGTTGGAGAAGTGAAAGGTTGTTCATAGTTCTATTAATATTTAAAAAACCGAACTTTTTTATTGATGGTAGTCATTGCGACTTGTTTAGTAAATGATTGTTATTGGCATGCGTGATTACAATAAGGTTTTTTGGCCAGATTTACTGTTAATTTGTATGAACAATATTGCTCTTCTTAAGGGACTTTGTCCCAGAATAAAGATGATTTTCTATTTTTATTTCTATTTCTGTAATAATAAGGTGAAATATGTTGTCTCATTCTTTGCAGTGATGCTCTTAATAGGGAATTTCTCGTAGAGAGAGAGCAAAGAAAAGAAGTGGGCTGCATTAGCGATATAATCTCATGGTGGCAGAGTGGCGATGACCGTGGCTAATCCTGTTGAGGAGGACCAATGACAAAGGAAGTGGTTGAAGGAGCTCCTTAGCCACAATGGAGGCATGCTCCACGCCCCTTCCCCTGGCTATAGCTAGTTAATTCTCTCCCTCAAAGGAAGAGTCGTCTTCTTTTTAATTTGGATTAGCGATTGATGTAGTTAGCTACTGAGGTTAGTTCCACGTCTATATATAAGGCGGTAATATAGGTACCTTTTCCGGCTCTCAGGAGAGGTGGATTTTGATGAATGGAGTATCGAACGAAAGGGAATTTTGTGGAGTAGTGATGAATCCCTACTTCGATCATCAAATCCCTTCAACATCTTTTATAAAAATTATTAAAAAAATTGAGAGGTTTCAAAGTCGAAATAGAATAAATTGTATTTTAATGTTAACTAGAAGGTTCTACTGTTTTTAGACCCCAAAAATCTTAAGTTTCAGAGATAAATCGTGTTTCTTGTCGATTATCTTTTAGGTGCGATGGTTGCCCTGGGTAGATATATCGTAACACCTGTTAAAGCTTTAATAGCTCCATGATTTCTTTGGCACTAAGGATAATCCCTCTATTATATAAAAAAGTGTTTAGTGTATTTCCGGACTGTGGTTTCGTTCAGTTTATTTTATCTTGATAAAAAATAATACAATTTGAACTACTGAATACATGTAAATTAAAGTTATACAATTTGTGCAACTAATAAACAACTATAAGGAAGTGACAAGAAGGTAATAATGACTTTAGAGAGATATTCTAGCAGTGTTCTAGATTACACAAAAGATATCAGTGTGTTTTATGAAAGACAGAAGTCCTCAGTTAAATTAAACAGATGTTTATAGTATCAATTACGAATCCCGAACATGTCCTGTTTAAGCAACTATTCATATCAGTATTTATTCAATGTAAATCATCAGAGTAAAAAAAAAAAATTACTGGTGTGTTTGAAGTAGAAAAGATTCAAGCATTTATTTGTTATCTGATCTTTGCTTAACTCTGATGAAGTCCTGAAATATATGCCGAAACTTCGGCACAAACAAAGTTAATATAATTTATTTTTACATCGTACTTCCAACTGTCAACCGCCATGCACCATTACAGAATCTTTTCTTATTTTAATAACGAATTTACACGTCCGCCTAAAAATAAACTTATTTTGTAGAATACAGTGTGTAAGTACTTAATAACATTTGCAAGTACATATTCCAAATCAAATGCTTCAGAATTGTTAATAATTATTCATATTACGCTAAAATAATTTACATACAAGAATACTACATAATATATAATAAAAATAAAAAGAACAATGATTCTAGTTGGCAGTGATAAGTTTGAAGGAAAGAATCGTGTAATGTGCGTCGCCTGAGTTGTAAATGTTTACGTCGGAGAGTCTGGTAATAGCAGCACAGTTTGATACCTACACGTGCTCAATTCAATGCCTTCAAGATCGCTTTTTTTTTTTTTATTATTTTTTAGGAATAAATATTTAACTTTTTGTTTCACTAAAGGTATTTGTATTGCATAATATATAATAATAAATAAACAATTCGTGTAAAAAAAAAGAAGATTATTTGGATCATGCACTTAATGATGTAAACTTGCAATTTTTTATGACATTGAAGATTGCAGTTACATTGGGCCTTGTTTATGTGTTCACAAATTATATTTTTACGATTTGATATTTACAACTGGTTCCTTGATATTAAGCAAACGAGTGATGTTTCAAAGTGTAATTTAATATCACCGGTAGTAAAACGACCGTTTTCAATTCTTTCATCTTAGTATAGAGGCCGTAAGTTAAGAGGGCAGTGAATAATGTCCCTTAGTATACTCGGTTTGCTTTGAGATTTTATATTTATAAAAGTTTATTATTGAAGAATATGAATTGATATGATACGAACGTATAACGACATCTGCTACTACTAAACTTGTGCTCCTGTCTTCTTCTCTTAGTCGGTGCTATGAAAAGCAAGACTTCAATGAGTGTGAAATATCATTGACTTTGTCGAATATTTGAAACATCCGTATGCCATGCTTTTGGTAATGCTTCTAAGAAAATTTATAACTGTATACAAATAAAAATATAACCAGTGGATGTAAAAAGAGAGACATTATGACATGACAAGGCTTGTAGAGAAACTACTCATTGGTAAAGCTCTAATAAAAGTTCTACATGAGGAGCTCCCGATGCCATGTTCTTGATATGGGACCATCTAGGCACCAATCAGCATAATCCCTGAAAATTTCATGAAGAATGGATGAACGGTACTAGGTGATATGCCCGTCACATCGATTTGACTACACACAAACGGACACCGAACCAAATTTGATCCTTGATGTCTGAAACATAAAACGCGAGTGGAAATTTTCGATTTTGAGCAAAAAAAAAAAATTTAATCTCTCGAACGAATACAATGCTTTCCCAACCTTCGTTAGTGAGAAAGCAAAAAACATTAAAGATATTGTTTCGCCTGCGAAAATTTCTATATGTCGAAATTTATTTATTTTGGTCCAAAGTTGCCAATGTAGCTAGAAATAAAAATATTTATAACTGACATATCTAAAAATGTAGTAACTAGGGTTTCTAAAACGGATTGAAAACGCAACTCCACTTTCCACTGACGACCTTCAATACAGTGCAAATGTCTATCATTTCCGAAAGGAAAAAGACAACTAGCAAATCAACTTCAAAAGGTTAGATTATTACTCAGCCAAAACTAATAACTGTGACCTAGATCTCGAGTAAACTAGTTTCGATAAATATGTTACTATGGTAATATAATATAAGTTCACCGATGATGAAGAACTTAAGATGTACTTGAACAGATGGAACAAGGGACAACACCAGAAGTGAAATCGGCCAATAGGAACAAACAGGCGCCGTGCCATGTGTCACGTAACGGCGGCTACCCAGTCCTTTCAAGATGTGCTAGAGGACGACAGTCAAGTCTGCCGACTTAGCGGGAGTAGCCAAGTTCATGGCCCACTCCTCGAGGCGAAGGAGTCAAGTGGTGTAATTTATATTTCCGACTAGTTTCTTTAAATCTATACGTTGCATTAAGTCAAGAAAACAAAGAGAAAAATCGGAATTGATTCTCTAAATTAGATTGATCATTAACAGCCATCAGTTAAAGATACGACATAAAATAATTGAGGCGGTAAATGAAAAAAAAAGGTGACTTAAGTAAAAAATGTATTTACCAAATTTAGTAAAATGGCATTTTTTTTTTTTTTTTTTTTTGTTTTAAGATGTACATCAGTTCAGATATCAAAAATAATTATGTACAACAATTCGGTAATAAAATTTAAAAAAAAAAAAAATGCCTCTGTGATCTAACATTTAAACAGCTAGAAAAGCAATTTAAAAGAATAATTCCTTGACGAACGAGGAGATTTTTTTTTGTTCTGTTGTTATAGATCTTTAGCCACCTTAACAAGCCTGCTCCCTCTGTACCTGTCTTGGACTATTTCTTTCCAGTTATCTACTTGCAGCTCTAGTTCATCTTTGTTGATTCGATCAGCTGCTTTATGACCTTCCACGAAGTCTTTTGCCTACTATTGAGACAGAAGAGACTTCCAGATGGATTGCTCCAAGTTACATGCCCCACCCATCTCAACTTCCGTGCCTTCATATCATCAGATATTGATTGATATGATTCTGTAAGCAGCTCTTTATTGATCTTTCACTTACATTTGATAATACTCTGATCCCAGAAAGCTCCACGTATTGTGCGGAGGATTTTTCTCTCAAATCTTTCAATACTTTTTTTCTATCATAGCTTTATTTAATCGAGATTTCGATAACTTTGAAAGGAAGAAGAAAGCTCTGTTTGCGCTTATTATACGCTGTTCTATTTCCGATCGTTGCTCAGTCATTCAGATATATTACCGGTACTTGTTATATTATTGTTGACCGTTTTATATTTTATTTTAGCCCTGAAGAATACCTTCATAGTTGGGTCGAAACGTCGGCTTACATTTTTTTCACTGTTTTAAGCCTTTTTATTACCGCCATCCCGGACCAGACCGTCTTCTGATTCTAAAACAAATATATGTGTGTGTGTATATATATATATATAATAAATATTTTTGATATAACCATTTCTATAAATAATTATTTGGGGTATGTATTTTTAGTGATAAGGTAAGTCTTGTCAGGTACACGCCATAGATATTTGATCTATAACTGTTTTAAAATAAGGCATTGTGTAATAATTTAAAGCCGTTTAAAATTGGAACTAATTTCCTCAATTTAGAATTAATGAATAAGTTTAATCCCTTTCCATATTCATTAAAATAAAAAATAAGAGGAAAATAGGACCCCAGTGACGTAGCTGCTTACGTTTTTTTTTTTTCCTTTTAATTCCTATCGAATCTTTAAACTGAAATATTAATATATCTTAGAGATTGTTATTGAATTTTTAATTATAAGTTCTGATAGGTTGCCTTGTACGAGCTGGGCTTGTTACCGTCCAATTTGCGAAGTTGGTCGAATTGAAGCTAAGAAGCTTGTTTTCGAAGAGTTGTTAATTTATCCCTCGTGGAACTCCGTCGTCATCTATATCGTCATTGAAACTTTGATTTCTGTTATGTTCAAAAATTTTAACTTCTGTAATCTAACAATAAAATTAGCGCATTGCAAAAAAAAAAAAAAAAAAAATGTTTTTATTCACTTGTACTACTTTCCATCAGAAAACATCAATACCAGATTTAATAGCCTTTTGCAGTATGGCTGTTATGAAAATTATAATTGTTAAAATTTAAACAGTAAAATTTAAAATTACTTTTTTAGGTTTTGCAAGTGAAAGTAATAATAAAAAAAAATCTGATAAGAATTAATGTATTTAATAAAAACCTAAATTACAATGAGAATATAATGTATTTTTGTAATGAAGAAACTTTATCATGACATAAACATGTAAGAAAACGAATGTGGATTAATATTTGTGTGATTGTTAATTTGATTTTATATATCATTTTAGACTTATCATTTAATCGATAAATAAAAGTAAAAGTTAAAATGACTATTAAATTTATTCGATTGTTTTCACATGACTTTGTTTTTTCGGAATTCCGTTTATTGATAGGTGAAGATATAAATATTTTATCAAAGTCTATAACTTGCATATTTATACCACTTGAATAGTACTGCTCTATATATTATCGAATTTAGTTAAAATATTATAAAAAATAAACCAAACCTAATTTCAATTATCTATAAAAATGCTATATATAAACTAATATTCAGTGAAGCTCATTGCCTAAGAATCGCTGTTTTTGAGAAGGGTTAAATTTGAGTGAATTTGTATGTTTAGATCTTAAAAAAAATTATAAATGTGTTTTTTTAATACTCAATTTAGGTATAAGTACCGGTAATATAGACTTTAAAAGTTATTTTCAATATTAATGTTAAGATTTGCACATTTGCAAATGTGTTTCATTGAAAGCAAATTTAGTATTATTGAATATTTTTTTCTATAAAGTCAAATAGTTAATTATTCTGAAAAACTTAGGAGCCAACAGGTTTTTTATTTAATTTAAAAACCCAAAATTAATTCTGCACAGTTTTAAACTAATAAATGGCAAACTACATATGAATGAATCAAAATTTCAAACCTAACGAACACCAGGCCTTGCTCCAACAAAAAGTCAAGTAACAATCGACCATTGTGGCATGATATTACTTTGAGGTTTAGGAATCGCCCTATTAAGAGTTTTAACTTCAAGTCTGCTCATATTTACACTCTTTTTTTGGGAGGGGAGGAAGGTTATAAAGCTAATTACATGTTAATGAGTGGAAAACTGTTTGTCACTGGTACATTTACCATATTATTACATAAATATGTAAATAATCAGTTAGACAACAAGTTATTTTTTAAGATAGATGCGGCATGCCTGTCATGGCTGTAGGCGGGAACAAAATCTGTTCTTGCTTGCTCATTTCCTGTAATATGGAATAGAGCAAATAAACAAAAAAAATAAACATTGAGGAAACACGAGCATATTGCGAAAAGACGTAATTGGTGTATTTACTGTTTTTATCAATAGAGGATTATCCCCATGATCACTATTTGTTCACCCGGCACCCATTTTCCTCTATCGTTGCCTCAAAAAAAGGCGTAGTATCTTTAATACCATACCATAATGGCAAAATTATCTCTTTTTATTACCTCACTGTTTTAACGAGGCTTAGGGAATTGATAATATCGTTTCATCTATAATTATCGATGATCCCATTCAGTGCCTCCTGAATTTTCTCACACTGAAATATGAGGTACAATGTTAGTTTATTTTTAAAATATCCTTTTCGTTTATCTCAATGATCAGTTAGCATGGTCCAAGTAGTTTATAATAGGCATATTTAGAAAATACAGTTTTTCTTCATTTTAATACGTTTAAATCTTCAATCATTCAATTACCTATATATATATTTACTTTCCTACCTTTACTAGGTAAGGACAGTATTGCGTTCTGGTCGAATTTCCTATATCCGGTTTTGAACGTATCTGTAAGTTTCAGAGCCTCATGAGTCCGAAACAAAGATTTTCAGCCTTTGGTCTGTCTCTCTGTCTGTGCCAGGATTATCTCGGGAACTAATTGATCAAAATAGTTGCTTCTTTTTTTATTTTGTAGGGTTTTGACTACTGATGTCTGTGGCACAAATCGGGTGCTCCCTGCGCAATAGCGTCTGCGCAATAAGTAAAAAACATATTTTGCTACAGACTAGCGCAAAAAAAATTCATCAAAACAAAAAAATTCATCGGATTCGAACCAGTATTTCCGATGATACAGCGTATTCTATTTTATACACATGTTTTAATTTATTAATTCCCTACCTATACTAGGTAAGGAAAGTATTGAGATCGGGTTGAATTTCCGATGTACGATTTTAGACGGATCTATATGTTTCAGAGTTCTCTGAGAAAATAAATCTGATTCAATTTTTTTCATTTTTAATGGACATAAAGTAATTTCAAATTTTGATTAACTTGAGGCTTAATAGGACTTTACTATTTCAAACAGGTTATGAAATCGATAATTAAATAAATCAAAACAAATCTAAGCAAAATTTTTAAAAATCATTTCATGATTATTTTTTTTAGCTTATTTATTGAGAAATATTATAATTTGTCACATATTGTATATTTATTTTATAGATAAATATAAATTAAGCACATTTATAAGATTGTGATGATTTTTATTTTTGATCATAAGTGATGAAAATCATATCCTGATCATTATTTTTGAACAAATTTTTTGTAATTAACAATAATAATAATTCTTGAGTAATACTTTTTTAAATCTGAAATATATATATATATATATTAATTGTTTGTAATATTTATGAGTCTGTAGGTACCGCGTGCACAATTAAAGCGATTTAAGAAATATAATATTTAATTTAATTTGTGTGTAAAAGGGAATTTTTATTTTCTGATCAAAGTTATTTTTATTACAATTTAATCATTACTATCTATTTAAAAACCGTATCACTCAGTGAGTGATCATTATTTTTAATCGAATCAGTAAACATCATAGATCGATTTAAATTTTTATTTATAAATCAGGCATGATTTTAAACCCTGATTTCAAATGATGATATATTCCTTCGACTTCCATTTCTGATTTACATATACATATACGGTCTTATGATAGACCTAACCATTATTTTTAAGTCAATTCTAAACGAATATTGTGCTAAATCATACTATCAGTATTTGTTATAAATGAGTATTAAGTAAATAAACTGACGGTATTTAATGTAAACGGTATGCAATTTTACTTAGAATTTTAGATTAATAGTTATATTTGTTGTTATATGTAATCGTATCATTTCACGTTTCACTATATTTTTTTACATTTTATCTCAAACTCTATTGGTCGAGATACCGAAAGGTCTTGAACCCGGGAACAGATATTGTGGTTGCTATGATAACACAACAATGGGACAGGACTTACGGATCATGCGTGCCGCGTTACCAGCTAAGGACGGCGTTACCTAACCCACGCATGCTTCGTCCCATTGTCCAGCCAGATGAAGCTAATTGGGACCGCCGAGTATTATTATACAACCGATTCGCTATCTGGGGCAGCTGGTAGCTCTATGGATCCAACTTCCTAGGAAGTTAGGGGTGTTCTCGATGTATAGGTAGTTGCGACTCCTTCGTTACCCACATCCGTCCAGCTGGCGAAGTGCAAGGTTCTGAACTCACCGATGACCGTCAGTCTATTCATCAGGCCGTCTCTAAAGTCATCGTTTTATGGGTTTAGGTGATGTTATCTATTTCAGCCTTGATGATGATTCAATTAGCGGAACTGGTTAGTTGTTTACCGAAGTTGGGGGATCTCTTGTTTTTTAATATTATGTTTTATATCATTGTTGATAACTGTTTTATCTCGGTTTGAATATATTTGTAGTTGTTGGTGAATTCCCCATTAATTGTTATTACAGCTCCGATAGAAGATGATGCCTAATAAGGTATGCTATATTAATTATTTAGTAATTGTGATTTTTGACGATCCCTTGTTACCTATATTTGTTACTATTATGATATACTTTTTGGGATATAATTTTCTATTGTTTGGACCTAATCCACTCCATTGGGGAGGTAGGGGTTTGGTTCAGTAAGTTTTGGCTTAAATTCTT